TCCGGTACGGGGGCAACACTGAGGGTTGCGATCCGTTGCCGGACACGGAAAAAAGACAAAAGACAAAAAAAAAAAAAACACATTCGTGTTGAAATATAAATGACTGATAGTATCAGAAGTAAGAGTAGAGGAGGGTTGGAGAGAGCAGAGGAAAACCAGTCACTTGACTGGGCAGAGGAGAAGGGTAATGAGGTGGGGGCAGGAAGGCTAGGAGCTCGGGTGAGAAGGCTTCACGTGCCTGTGGCTACCCCTGCTTAATGCCTGTAGCGAGCCTTACCTGTACGTGGTTCTGGACAGCCATCTGTCACCGCTGCAGCCCATGTGCTTTTTAAGTGTGCTGGAGATCTGAACGTGTTTTGAATCCCTTAGAGGCAAGCATTGGGCAGACAAGCTTTGAAAGCAGAGTAATAGCAAGTGCTGTCTGTGTCCACAGGGAGAGTGGGCCTGCCCTCAAGAGGTCCCCACAACCTGTGGTTCTAAATTGGACTAGAATCTAGAACCATAGAGGAGAGCAGGAATAACAAGTGAAGGACTACAAATATGATTAAGACAATTTTTTTTGTGCACAATGATTTTATTGTTTAGTAAAGCTGCACTTTAATGTTCTTTATTTCAAGTATCTTTAAGAGAAATACAACAACATGATGTGGTGATATCACAGGACAAAAGCTGACTTTAGGCTAACAGGAAGAGGAGAAAGTTCCTGCTGTTCCCGTTGTTTCATGCACAAAATAGACTTGGGTGGGGTGTTTAAAGAAGAGGAAGCAGTGGGGATGGATGAGGAGCTCAGGGAAGGGTGTTCTAGAAGGAAGGGAAAGGTGCAGACTTGATTTCCCATCTGTGTCTAGAACCATGTCCCCAGGTTATCTGCAGCAATGGAAGGTGAATGGGGGCTACCAATTAGCACAGATTAGTAATTACAATTGCCGTTAACTAAGCAACTGCTAATTAGGAGCCAGGTGTTCTCACCTGTGTTTCTTATTTGTACCAGCCCTTTTGGGAGTTGGTATTATCCCTTTTCTAAGAGAATAACTTGCTCAGTGTCCAACAGTTAGCAATGGCGCAGTTAGGATTCAAACCCTGTTCTCTTAACAGTGTTCCCTCTGCTTTTCTAGCTCCCTCCTAGGCCATGGCTGGTGACGTATTCTCACTGACTGCCACCAGGAGTCACACTAGCCAGTCTGGATGAATTAGTAAGCACAATTGGTAGGATTCAAACCCTGTTCTCTTAGCAGTATTTCCTCTGCTTTTCTAGCTCCCTCCTAGGCCATGGCTGGTGACATGTTCTCACTGACTGCCACCAGGAGTCACACTAGCCAGTCTGGATGAATTAGTAAGCACAATTGGATCTAAATATAATTAATTATGTAACTATGGCCTGTCCGAGTTTAGTTCTACTAAAATTGCAACACAAATTGGGGCATTATAAAGGATTACCGTGAAAATTAGAATAGATTTGAATAAAGTCCCCCTGCCACCTTTTTTCTCCAGAGTTAAACAGAAATAAACCCAGCAATTCCAACCCAATTGGCAGCACAACTAGAAACTTACCCCATCTAACTGGCAGTTGGCCAAAAAACCATCAGCTCAAACTTCCCTAGTCACTACAGAAAGATGAGGTGGTAGGGAACTAATGGTATTTTAAAAACAAGGTGAATATAGCTAGAGCATTAGGACAAAGCTGTTCACAATTGTGGATGATGTTTTGTTCTCTATCAAAATGTTTAATTTGGGTTGTATATGGTGACTTTTCTGTAATAGCAATTGCTGGAATTCCTGCTTTCTGAAGGATAAAACTCAGGCTGGAATTCTTACCCAGGTTTCATAGAACAAAGTAGAGAAGCCAGCATGTCATAAGAAACATTCACATTCTGCAGGACGATTACATTTAATTGCACAATCAACAGTACATTCACATTGAATGAACACGTTTTTCTGCAAATGTTTACTGAGAAAGATTTTTAAGAAATTTAATTGGCTTTGTCTGTGGCAGTTTCCTTAGGTGAAAAAAGTGCTAATAGTCACTATGGTAACCAAGATGGAGGTAACGAGGAGTAAAATCAGACCCATACGACAGAATTTTGATTGCTTCTCTTGTTTCTTTTCCTTTTTCAATAAGGTGTCAAAACCTGGCGTGTACATGTCTCCCAACCAAAACCGTAGGTCATTAGGATTTTCCTAAAAGAAAATTACATGGAGAATATAGTCAATCAGTGATCAATCAGTGTTATGGACTAACCAAGACTTCAGAACAAGACACTGTCAGAGGACCGTTTTCACACTGTCCGGGTGAGGCTTCAATGTCACACTTAAGCTCAAATAAGAGAGTCAAGGCCTCCCTGGGTAACATAAACATGCAGCTGCAATCTCCTGGCTGACCAGGAATCCTGCGGTCCCAAACTGTACATCTGCATCAGAATTCATTAGGAGGCCTACATGATTGTTTTATTAAATTGTTCACATTGTTGGGTCAGAAACACAAGTATTTCTGTCATGTGTTAGCCAATTTAGTGTTTCTTACAGCTTATAAATAGTGCATGTATCAGGTTAGTCAGAGAAAATAAAATTTAAATTCATTGCTTTAAATGAACCTTAGAAATTTGATTTTGTCTGCATGGCAGGAATAACCATGTCTGTCGAGTTTTTCACTAAATCCAGAAGCTGATTTCTATGGAAGGAGTAATACCAAGAGTGGAGTCCCTTCCAGATTCCTGACCTACTGGTCTTCCTTGTAGAGGGCTGCAGCAGGTCTGGCATGCAGAAAATTTGGCACTGTGTGACTTCCTGAAGAAAGGAGCTGGTATATCCTCCCCCCACATCAGCTCCTATTCCTCATGCCTCTGTTTCTGTCACCAGCCCCATCTTCTTTCCAGTCCCACAGAATTATCTTCAAGTCAACCTGATCTGCTGTGTCCAATAAATCACCCACAAACTCTACTGTTCATACATTTGTAAAAATACATTTCTTCTCTTATCGTCTTCTGCTATGCTTCAGGGCTACAGATTCAGTATCTATGCCTGGCAGATGCCAGTAGACACACAATGAATTCATGGTGAATGTGGAATCTCTGCTTTCACAAACCCATTTAAGGCCTCATTATATCGCACCTGATTTGTTATAATGGCTTGCAGTGGCCTCTCTCTGCCTTTCCAGTCTCAATGGACTTAAAATCAGCTGCAAGTGGCATAGCGGTTTCCAAGGTCAGTCTCAAGGGTCAATGAACTAGCCTCAGACTTATGGGTGCACTGCCAGGAGAGGACTGTGCCTGCATGCAGGGAACTGGTGTGGGTTCTGGTGACAGCAATGCAATTCTCCCATCACATTGGTACTAGTCTTAGACATGCTAAAATATGAAAATACATTTGAGATGACCTGTGCAGAAGGATAATGAATTAAAAATCCTTGTCTACTTCACTCTTACTCTTCGTTTTGCTTGTGTTCCAATCAGAGGCCTGCACCGTGCCTGCAAGTTTAATACGTCCATCTTCCATGAGGAGCTTCCACAGTGGAAATGATCCTCTCTGACATTCTACTTCTAGCTCCTTCGTTTTTCTTGTGTTCCAATCAGAGGCCTGCACCGTGCCTGCAAGTTTAATACCTCCATCTTCCATGAGGAGCTTCCACAGTGGAAATGATCCTCTCTGACATTCTACTTCTAGCTTTCCTTGGTAATTAAATATGGAATTTCTTTTCTCTTTACTGACTTATAAACTCTTAGCAATGTAAAAAATGGGAGTGGCCAAAGGCCCCTGGAATGCTTATCGCCTATAAGTGGTGTCAAGTTTTCAGAAAACACGTTTGGGATTTTGTGTGCTATTTATGAGATATGGATAGGGTGGTGATGAAAGAAGTTGAATTAATGAGGTATAGGAAGAAATTCTGACAAAAAGCCATGGCTTCCAGAAGCTTCCCTCATGAAGTTAGTGCTGAAGAATAGCATGAGGCTGGAGAATGGGCCTCAGACCAGAAGGTCCACTGCTCTAAGAAAGAGTGAATGGGTACATAGAGGACTGGGTGGGGTGGGGGCAGATCTTGATTTTAGTAAAACAATGTATCAATCATATTTACGTGGAATCTTCCTAAACATAATGCATATAATTATCCAATTTAATAAAATTACTCCTTATTGCCAATAATATTGTTTCCAAAGTCTAACATGCAAACATTCTCTTCTTGTCTTTATTTTTTAGCTTATTTTTCCACTATTCTATTACTTACATTGTAGTTCCAGCAAACCTGGACTACTTACTATCTTGACAAATTTTCTTACTTTTCTGTATTTCTGTTCTTGCTCTTGCTACTCCTGACAGAAGAGCCTCCCCACTCATGCAAACCACTTACATCTTTTGGAATTCTACACATCCTTCAAGCTTTTCACAAATTAACTCTCTTATGAAATCATTTTACGATCAGATGTGATTTTGTCTGCTTCCAAATCTGCGCAGCACTTTCTCCTACTATTACAATCACCTTCCTCTGTCCTGTTCTACAGGTGCTGTTTGTTAGTCTGCTCAGTCTGATGAATGTTTCGAGGGCAGGGACAGTAATGTTCCCTCCATAGTCCCCTTGTCACGCATGTAAACAACAAAGGGAAGGGAAGCGGCCCTAGCATACAGTCAAGAAATGTTTGTGTGATAAATCAATATATTTATTTCTAATAGTAGAGGTGACTTCTTAGAGGTTCTGATCTTAAGATTCCTGATAAAAAACAAAGATTAAACAAAACAAAACAACAACCAACAACCCCTATTATTGTTGTCATGGGGAGCACCTGCTATGGAAACTTCTCTGGAAAGGGGGCTACAGGCTACATTAAGGAGGAGACACATTAAATGTATTAGGAGATTAAGAAACTTCAAAGACTCTGGACAATACAGTACTGTGAAGAGTGCACATCTGAGATTTTAAAAAGCATGTGTAGGATTTAAAGGGACATGGTACTGTCCCCTTCAAAAGAAGAAATCCTGAAGTGCTTGAGGTATGGAGCTTAGAACAGATACACATTTTTAAATAAAGGGTACTTAGGTCTTCCTGGTCTGGGACAGGCAGAGGCAAGTTAAGACTGGGTAGGAATACAGTCCAGTCAGTCAGAGGGTCACCCTTCCTGTTTTTCAGATATTTCTAAGTTTCCCATGTGGTGGGTGACATCGGGGGGTGGGGGGTGGGGAGAGACTGTGAAAGAAAGAAAAACTTAGAAAGAAAACCTTAAATTGCTGTAAGCTGGGTGAATGAGTTCATTGCATTCTTTTCCTGTGTCGAAATGTTTTTGTTTTGTTTTGTTACTGAGACACAGGAAAATGACCAAAATGTAAATCCGCAGTCTTAAATCATTCAGTGGGCTTGAAATAAAATGATCTTTGATGAGAATTTTCTTGTACAATGCCTAAGACAGAGCACTTAATAAATATTTTTGAAGAAACGTAGAATAGGGAATCAGTTCTTAAGTGTTTATGAACGTAAATGGCTACAAACCAGGGGAAAACATGTAATCTCCTAAACTGATTTTCAAAAACCTTTTACTCTCCTGGAAAACCTTTGTTCCATACCGCATCTTTTTTTTCCTCTCTCTCTCTCTCTCTACACTGTACAGATGCCAGTAATTGCTGATATTGTAAAAATCAAAACAAATAAATAAACATAAATGCTGACAGGAAGGAGAGAAGAAAGCCAGGTACCCAAACGATCTGAAATCTAAAGATTTTGTGCCTAGTGAAGAATACCTGACCCACCTCCATAACTCTTTCTTTTAGGATTATTTAACTGATCTCTGTCATCAATTGAAGGAAGCGATTCTCAGTCTTTAGTACCTTCAGATGTCCAGAGAGGTTTGTGTGCAGGGAATGCTTGTCATATTCCTCAATGGTCCATGAAGGATTCTTTTTTCTTTCTTCTATAGCTTCCTCCAAACTTATGTCGCCATATAGTGGGTTATTCTTCATAACTGGTGACATGGATGGTGGGGGGCTATCATTGGTGACAAGACCCTCCGTACTGGATCCCTTACTTGGTTGAGCAGGAATATTCTTTTTTTCTCTCTATAGGAGGCAAAGAGACAAGGCTTGTCTTACCAATGGGCCTTCTGATGGTAGAGAATGCAATGTGACATAACTGTGTCTGGAAATTTGCTGATTCTGCCTAGAAACCAACAAATTAGGGCAATGAATGAAAAAAGGATTCTAGGATAGAGTTTGACCTAGAATCCTACCATTACTTGAGTTCTTTCTTTGTGTGTGATGTTGATCAGCTTTAATAATCATTCATTAAAATGCCATTTTATAACTACAGAGAAAGAACACTGTTTTTAATTCAAAATCACAATTCTGAAAAAAGCCAATTTTTTAGAGGTTACTTGCATTGAGATTTAATAGCATTTTACTTCCCTCTGTTTGTGCATTCCATGACTGATAAAAATAATATTTAATGTCATTGTATTAATCCTTAAAAGTCAAGATCAAAAGACATTTTATAGAAACACCTGGGCTTTCACAAATACTGTTGTGGCTCCTATTTCAGACAGCTTTGAGGACTGAGCTAACTTAGGATTGGACTCCTATATGTGTCTACAGACCAGCTGGTTATTAGATGGCTCCAACACGGACTTTCAGATTTTGTAAGTTTGTAAGTGAAGCATAATATCCATATAGAAAAGTGTACATATGAAAAACGTATAGCTTAATAAATTTCCACAAACCAAATAAACCCAAAATTCAACACTGAGACAAAGAAACAGAACATTACTAGCACCCCTCATGGTCTTTTCCAGTCACTATCTCTCCCTGGGCCCAAGAATAACTAGCATCTCAAATTCTAACAGCATAGGTTAGTTTGGACTCATTTTGTATTTCATGTCAATGGAATTATATAATGCGTGCTTTTGTGTGTCTGGCTTGACCTTCAGATTTTTACCTGGCTTCGCTTTTTCTTAGGACTGCAAATCTATCATCAAGGCAGATAATTTTAAAATTAAAACTTGTTTATTAGCCAAATACGAATGGAGAAGAAACAAAAACCTTACACAGTAATGCCTTATTTATCATGGAGCATCAAGGGAAAGGAATTTCATATAAGTTAATTTTCAAACAACTTACATTTAACCCTTAAAAACTGTTGAATAATTAATTTACAACAACAACAAAAAGGAATTTTTAAAATAAATGTGTTTCAGATATTTTGGCCTTCCTAAACAGAAACGTTTCAATAGGAATTATATTCCTCTGAGACATATTTCTGATCATCAATACTCTGATGCTCTCAACATCAATTGGGGTATATAGGTCACATTAAATATGCACTATATAAGCTAAAGCTGAAAATAAATATTATATATATTTTCCTTCTGAAATGGCATGTAAGTTAAAAAAATCATCTAGATTAAACTATTCACATTCTCTTTGGTGTTGGGTTTCCTTAATTTTTTTAATCCATGCATTTTTCACATACTTTGAGATCAGCTTGGAAATCCTGACTTTAACAGGTTCTTGGTCTGCTCAAAGTCAGTTTATATTCTATAATAGTGAAGTTTGCAATGAAATAATAAATCTTAATTCAGCATTTCTCTTAAAGATGGATGGCCTCAAAAGTAACGTTTCTGAATTGAGCAAAAAACAATTAGATAAGAAATTTAGATCAAGCTTAGCATAGGCTGGATTTTTTTTTCAAGGCTGGAAATTCTTTGATCATCTTTGAAGAGGGGTAATTCTTCTGACATTGACAAATTAGCTTTGTAAGGTCATTTGCCTGCTAGACTATTCCTTGAGCTTCTTAAACAAGAAAGCTCTATAAATGAGGAAAATTCAGTTTTGGGGGTCAAGAAAAAAATTAATGCTTTATTACAATGTATGTAGACTTGGAAAAACTAACACATAAAAGATATAAAAATCACCAGAGGTATACTCTAAAAGAAGATTTCTAACCCTTATTTCTAGACAGTATTTCTCAAAGTTTTGAGGTTATTCCAGAACGTCATACAATTTATTTTTGCACTGCATGTCAATTTTATGTCTAAAGAATATGTGAAGGGGAAAACATAAAAGATATAAAAATCACCAGAGGTATACTCTAAAAGAAGATTTCTAACCCTTATTTCTAGACAGTATTTCTGAAAGTTTTGAGGTTATTCCAGAACATCATACAATTTATTTTTGCACTGCATGTCAATTTTATGTCTAAAGAATATGTGAAGGGGAAATAATAGTATAACTTTACTAAGAATTTGATGGCAGAATAAAAATACTAATTATGGTGGAAGTTCATCTGTATTTTGATAAATTTTTTCAAATAACTTTGAGAAAATAAAGTATGTATTTGACTCCAACCCTCTACTGTACTCTATATACTAGAAAGGATACATTCACCAGAGGATACGTCAACAGCAATTCTATTATTTTAATCTTATGGACTGTAAAATGAATTATTTTTAATTTATTTATCTTTTATATACTTTAAACATTATACCCTTTATGTACAAGTAAACTATCATACAATGAAGAGTGAGAAGACATATTTGGACAAACAAAAGCTAAAGAGTACATCATGAATAGACCTTTAAAGAAAGAACCTCTAAAAATGTACTTATGGAGGAAGAAAATTGATAACAGAGGTAAAGATTAAGATAGAAGAAGGNGCAAATAGTATATTTCTCAGACAAACAAAAACTGCGGGAGTTCATCACCACATGACCACCCGTACAAGAAATTCTCCAGGGAGTACTGGGATTGGATCCTGAAAGATAACTACCACG